ATATATATGTATGTATGTATATTGAGCAAATATATAAAAACAGAAAAACAAAAAACAGGGTGAACGGTCACAAAGGTTCAGCTATTATAGCAGAATCTGAAATCATGAACAAAATCAACCATAACTTCCTTGCTTCTTAACATAATCACACGATTTAGGTGTTTTAAAGGGTTTTTCYTGTTATTTTTGAATTCACTGTCAGATTTGATACTAATGTAAGATATAAAAAAAAATCCACGTACTTAAGAAAATGTTTCTCTTCAAACGTTTCTAAACCAAGTACAGAGTAAATATTTAACTGAGCAGAAAGCTCAACAGAAACAGAAACTGTCCTCGTCAAGCTACAGCAGTGCTTCACCAGTTGTGAGAAATATTTTTAAAATGACTTTAAAAGCCGCGTTTTCAATATAAAATACATATATTTGTATTTGTAAATAAAATGAGAAAAACAAACAAACAAACAAAGAGCTGTTAAGTGGAGCCTCACCGGCAGGAGCACCACCCTGCTGCCCTGTCCCGCAGCCTCCTTCACCAGCCTCCGGGCTCTGCTCAGGTTGTCCGCTTTGACGCTGCCCACCTGCAGCTGCACCACAGCCAGACGGAACCCTGCGACAACACGACACCAGAACCAGAACCAGAGCCTGCTAACTAACACTTCACCGCTCTCAGAGTAATAAATTATATATACATTCAACAGTTCAGGGTTAAAAACGTGAAACGCAGCGAAAGATAAAAACTCWAAACTTACTCGACATGACTGCAGCGGTCATTTTTGGTGCACAGGTCCGTTCAGATCAGCGCTCCGGAAGAAACAGGAACAAGAGGAAGACTTTCCGGGCAGGCACTTGCATTTCAYAATAAAAGTAGAAAACACCGACATTTTGAAACGGATGTCACTCCACAACGCAAGTGTCCGTTTTTGACAGCAAATAGAAAAGTCTAATCTATGAAAGTTTTTCTGGTGCAAAATTATTTGTGCTTACCTTCATACTGTCTCTCTACAGCAGAGAAAGTAAGACAACTAGAAAAGTTTTCACTACGAAAATCAAGTGAGTTTTCCAATCTTAAAACCACTCCCATTGGTCAAAACGCTACACATAAAATAATGACCAGAAAAAAAAATACTGAACAAAACCACAACGATAAAAAACTACATATAAAATATAATTAGACCTAATAATACGCAAAATAGTCAAATGTCAATCCCAATCACTATTATTATGACCCCCGCACGCGAAGCGTAAGCCGGAGTCATATTGTTTTCAAACTATTTATTTATTTATTTATTTATTTATTTATTTATTTATTTATTTATTTATTTATTTA